CTACTAATAATATTCATTTATTCGTTTTTATTTTGGCTTAGTCCTTTTATTAATCTGCGGTCGCCACAGCGGAATGAACCACCAACTTATCCAGCATATGTTTTTGCGCACAGCGGATGCCCTTCCAGCTGCAATCCATCACTGGGAAACATCCATACACACTCATTCACACACATACAATTTAGCCTATACCACATGTTTTTGGACTTGTGGGGGAAACGCACAGGGAGAACATGCAAACTCCAAACAGAAATGCCTACTGATCCAGCCGAGGCTCGAACCAGCGATCTTCTTAAATAAATACTAAATAAATTATTAATCATGTCTACTTGTAAATTGAATGTATTAAATGTTCACTCAGCTTGCCATACGCCAGCATATGCCGAACACGGTTCAGATTTACATGGTGTGGCGGTAGACGAAAGCATGCAGATGTTATGTGCGAAACACTGTCCAAGCCTGTAAACAAGAGCCTCGTGTTCAACACTGGTCGTCTGCAGAGCTCTCATTAGTAATGCGGTTGTGGATTTGTTTCAAATGAAGCACTGGTGGTCTCAAAGCTTTGCTGGCAGCAGGACCTGCTTTGCTTACGTAGAGTTTTTGTCTTGTTTCTAGTCCAGATATCTCAAAATTCTTAAATCAAGAGGCTTTCAGGACAAAAATATTGTCTTTTTTTCTGAAAAAATCTGTCAAAATTAAGGGAGTTTTTACTGAAAACAGACGTAATAATCTGCCAATGGAGTCAGCAAAATAATCTAATTTCAAAGCCAAAACAGGATTATTTTACTTACAACATTGTGGTAAGATTATTTTGCTTGTTTTAATTATGATTCAACAAAATAGAAGCGGCTAAACTTTAAAGATACTCTTTCTTCTGTGAAACATTAAATACTTTTAGGATATATATTTTTTCCCCTACAATTTTAGTCAATGACTTTAATTGTTGTTTCCTAAAAAAACACTGTAAAAACAGTTTTAAGACAGCGGTAGAAACCATACAATGAGTTTCAGATATTTGTGATAAACTACCATATTTCATTAACGTTTAGCATTGCACAAGGGTTTTGAAGTACCATTCACTCATAATACCTTTGTTACACAAACAAAAACACATCCATAAGCATGTGGTAATGAAAAAGTGAACAAAAATGAACCAAAGCTCATCACAAATGTGTTGTGTGTATGTGTGTGTGTATATATAGTTGAAGTCAGAATTATTAGCCCCCCTGTTTATTTTTCCCCCCAATTTCTGTTTAATAGAAATAAAAAAATGAAACACATTTCTAAACATAATAGTTCTAATAACTGATTTATTTTATCTTTGCCATGATGACAGTGCATAATATTTAACTAGATATTTTTCAAGACACTTCTATACAGCTTAAAGTGACATTTAAAGGCTTAACTAGCTTAATTAGGGTAATTAGGCAGGTTAGGGTAATTAGGCAAGTTATTGTACAATTATTGTATAATCTCTGTAGACTGATGGCATTTCATGTCACTCAGCATTACAATCTTTAAAATGTGAGCAAAATCACCTGTTTTGTCTTCGCTTTAGACATTACGCTAGAGAATCATTCAAACACTAGCTTTTCTGACCGTCAGCTGCAGTTCTGAATGAGTGACGGAAGAAAGTAGTTCCTCATACAAAAGGGTTTTTAGACTCCTGTTTGATTTTCTTTTTTATATACACGATTATGTCATTAATCTGTTGTATAAACGCTACATTACACTCGGAGCATTGCGGTATGAGTGTATATCGTTACTGGTGGGCCACTAAGGCAAACGCCTCCCACCAATGCTAATATACAGCCATATTGCACTGCTTGCGAGTGTGATACTGCTCATGTGCATATTTATGTATGTATGCATGCATGTATGTATACAAGTCAGAATTATTAGCCCCCCTGAATTATTAGCCCACCTGTTTATTTTTTCCCCAATTTCTGTTTAACGGAGGGAAAAAATTTTTTCAACAAATCTTTAAACATAAAAGTTTTAATAGTCTCTAATAATTGATTTATTTTATCTTTGCCATGATGACAGTAAATAATATTTGACTAGATATTTTTCAAGACACTTCTATACAGCTTAAAGTGACATTTAAAGGCTTAATTAGGTTAACTAGGCACTAGGCAGGTTAGGGTAATTAGGCAAGTTATTGTATAATGATGGTTTGTTCTGTAGACTATAGATTTTTTTTTGCTTAAAGTGGCTAATTATTTTGTCCCTATAATAGTGTTTAAAAAATTAAAAACTGCTTTTATTCTAGTCGAAATAAAACAAATAAGACTTTCTCCAGAAGAAAAATATTATCAGACATACTGTGAAATTTTCCTTGCTCTGTTAAACATAATATATAAAAAAAGAAAAAAAATCAAAGGTGTTCATGCGTGCATGCGGGTGAGTGAGAAAGAGAGATCAGGGTTTGACTTTAACACCCATCAACCCACCAAATGCGGGTAGATTTCAGCGTTAAGACAGACACTCCGACTAGCCACTAAGGCTAGTTGAAAATAGTTTTCCTGGACAATAATTCTTAAAAACAGGGTTCAACAATAAGGATGATCCAATACTTAATAAAGGTGTTCTTAGAATTGAGAAGCAACATGATTGACAAAAATAATTACATTCGCGGGAGCAATAGAAATTAGGTGAATGCTGAATGAGAGGATAATCGCGCGCGCTAACTGTTTAAAACGCGTGCGCGCTCCCATTTCCTTGAGTGAAGCAACTGTGACTACAAACACAACTGATGTGATCGGTTCTCTTTCAAATAGACTTGACAAAAAGTGATGAACATGCACCCACGGTCTTACTGCTTTCAAGAGTTCCAGACTTGTCTTTTTGTAAGCAGCACCGGTTGCTTTCACTTTAATCCTTCTTTGAACAGATTATTTATAGGTCTAATGTTAACCGTGTGTGTGATCATCCTTTCATTGTTGCACGGTATGTTTTTTACCTGCTTGCTTTTGTGTTAACATGGTTTAATTATCATTTTTTTACAATAACATTGCTTTAATGGGAGATTACCTCCCCATTTATGCGTAGTTAACTTTTGATCTGGGACCTTTAGCCAGGACAGATTACTTTGTAAATGTTTTGTTAAATAAAAAGTATAGTATACAGCTATATGTTGCTTGTTTGTTGCTCGTAAGAAATAATTGTTGATGTTTGGTGTGGTCAGAGATAAACTTGGTAAATCCTTCATTTTGAGCTCTGAAAAGTCATGTGAAATAAAAACTAATTGTAATACTATGAAACCCATTTGCTCATGATTATTGAGCAAGCTCATGCTCGACACACAAAAAGTGAAATGAATGAGGAGGCATGTGGAGATAGTGTAAAATTTAAATCAAGGAGTTTTAGCACGTCAAAGCCATATTTATGTGTATAAAGTATATATTTCCCAACAATAAAATTGTGGCTAGTGAAATCGAGTGGCTTTAGATTTTTACTGAAGCATTAAAAAAAAAAAAAAGGTGTAAATTAGTCATTTTTACAGTGCAGACTTTCATTGTAACCTTTTTACTGTTTTTTTTTGCCATTATAATTATTCATTATTTGCATTTTCAGATTTTTACTGTGGTATATTTACTGTTTTTCTTTACAGTTTTTTTTTATTGCAACCATTTTTTACAGTGAAATACATTTCACCCAAATATAATCATGATCATCTGTGCTTCTCAAATGAAAAAAAATCCACATTTCACTAAAAAAGGGCCTTTGCTGTTTCTTCAAACTCCTTATTTAAAATGAGCTGAATCAACACAATTCTTGAGGTATTTTTTTTAACAACATAATTGTTTTGTGTTCAATCCACTTCAGTTTATAAAAACGGTCCCACTTTATATTACGTGTCCTTAACTACTATGTACTTGCATCAAAAATAAATACAATGTACTTACTGTGTTCATAATGTATTTGAGAACACTTGTGGTGCTCTTGAGTTGGGATAGGGGTTGAGTTATGGACAGGTTTGGTGGTGTGGGTAGGTTTAAGGGTGGGTTAAGGTGTAGGGAATGGTCAGCAGTGTATTTACAATTGTAATTACAGAAGTTAATTACAGATGTAATTACATACAGGTTTTTAAGCAAGCATAAGTACACAATAAATACATGTATTTACATAACAAGTACATTGTAACAAATTATCATTTCCTGTGTAAATACATATTAGTTAAGGCCACTTAATATAAAGTGGGACCGTAAAAACTAATAAGTAAACCTAATTCCTTCAAGTTGTCCCAACACAATTGTGTGGAACCCTGTTTATTTTACAGTGTTGGCATGGCATTAGAGCAAGCAGATGAAGTCCTGCTCTTCATTTTTTGGTTGCTCCGTCCCTTTAATATCCAGCACGGACTGTAAAAGCAAACAGGGGAGCTGTATTTACAGTAACTCACCTCGGCTGGAGCACTTTTGCTCTGGCGTGGCTGAAGTTTCCAGATCTCTCACACACAGCCAGGCTCTCCATCTGCTCCTCCATCATGATGATGCAGTGCAGTGACGTCAGCTCTCCTCACAGGTGCAAACACAAATCAGACGCGTTTCCAATGGAGCTGCCAGAGCATCTGCTTTCCATGATGAGGAGCAGATCTGTGCAGCGTCTCTTTCTTCTCTTCAAGAGCGAATCTTAACACTCCACTTAAGTTCACCAAAAAGTGAATGTTTACTCACTGTTTATCCACTATTTATCCCTCAAGTGGTTTCAAACTTTTATGAGGAACACATTTGGAGAGGAATTAATTGAAAAGCTGTACAGTTAAATGCAAAAACTGTATGGTGTGTCTTTTGCGATTCCTAAAACAGGATTTATTTAGTCGTGAAAAGTGTTTTTGTTATGTTTATTTATCATTGATGTTCATATTTGAGGACAGTCAGTCTTCAGTTCCTCAGCATTGTGATGAACAGAGATGCAGAAGTAAGAGGGTCTTTACTGTCTTCTCTTTATATGGATTAATTGAAACACTGAACCATTGATCTCTGTGTGTTTGTCAGGTTGTTTGATAACTCAAACGAGGGCTTCAGGAACTGGGAGTTCATGACGGTTCACTGCTGGGGTGAGAAAGCAGAGGGAACCTGGACGCTGGAGATCTCAGACTCCCCGTCTCAGCTGCGCAACCCAGAGGTCCTGGGTGAGTGTTTCACTTGGTTTTACTTTGTTTTGTTTTATTTAATTTTTTAACAATTTTATTTCAAAATTTTAAACTTGTTTTGTTCTTAACTTATTTCAATCTTAACGATCTAAGCGCAAAGTCTAAAGCTAATGGCACAAAAGCATTAAGGGTTAAGAGCATTAAGAGAAGACCGTGTATACACGTTTTGACCTGTGGTGTCGTCAAACTGCTGAAATGAACTTAAATTACACTTTTAGTGTTGATCGTACGGATAAGATCAATGCATCAACCGAATCTGTTATGTGTCTACTTTTTGTTGTGTACACTCACAGCAACACCCCAGAGGGTTAAGGATGGAAAAATACACTCTGGTCTAACAGGGTTGTGCTTATTCTGTGCTTATTGTGCTTATTAGTTATGGGTGTGTTTTGAGAGTAACCTGCAATAAACCAATCAGATTCTCATCTCCCATTCCTTTTAAGAGTCAGTTGCGTCGCACCATGATGCATTAGCAGTGTTGGGCAAGCTACTTGAAAAATGTAGTGAGCTAAGCTATTAGCTCCTCTACTTAAAATGTTGCGTAACTACACTAAAAGCTACCCTCTGGGAAATGTAGCATGCTAAGCTAAAAGCTACATGGCTATTTATACGTCTAAGCTATTTTTACAATTTTCATTTTAAATCGAAGCAACTTAAATCCGAGTCAATCATCTCTTAGTGATCAATAAAACTGTCAATGAAACCTAAACGGGTGACGCAGTGGTGCAGTGGGTAGTGCTGTTGCCTCACAGCAATAAGGTCGCTGGTTCGATCCTCGGCTCAGTTGGCGTTTCTGTGTGGAGTTTGCATGTTCTCCCTGCGTTCGCGTGGGTTTCCTTCGGGTGCTCCGGGTTCACCCACAGTCCAAAGACATGCGGTACAGGTGAATTGGGTTAGCTAAATTGTCTGTAGTGTGTGTGAATGTGTGTGTGTGTGGGAAGTTTCCCAGAGATGGGTTGCGGCTGGAAGGGCATCGCTGCGTAAAAATGTGCCTGATGAGTTGGCAGTTCATTCCGCTGTGGCGACCCCGGTTTAATAAAGGGACTAAGCTGACAAGAACATGAATTAATGAATGAAACATAGTTCAGTTCAGTTATTTACTGTAAATAATATGCTGTACTCAGGGGGGGTGATGGCGGAGGGGTGGCGCAGATAAAAGTGAAGAGGATAGGGGAGTCACGGAAGAAGGCGAAAGCGAACATCGAACAGCGGAGGAGGGCGATTGAGGAAGGGGATCAGTAAAAAAAAGGGGCCGGATCAGAATTCTGAAGTTTCGGGTCCGGCGTGTTTCGGCAGAAATTAAACCCTGGCTGTACTAAACAGAAACACATTATAGTATATAACAGTTAAAACAAAAAATCCATTAAAATCAGATGTTACACATTTAAAATACTATAGTAATTTATAATCAAGGAAAATATTTTGGAATAAGCATTATAGTGTGTGTGTGTATATGTATATATGTATGTATATATATATATATATATATATATATATATATATATATATATATATATATATATATATATATATATATATATATATATATATATATATATATATATATATATATATATATATATATATATATATATATATATATATATATATATATATATATATATATATATATATATATATACTTAAGTATTATTTTTATTTTTTGAGCACAGCATCAGAAATTAAGTTATTGCATCTTAATATGTACTTCTCGAGGTATGGTCACGAGGAATCCTGCTTCAGAAATAACTCTTCTCCCTCAGTCATCTTTCCACCAATCAAGTTTCACCAGAGGTGGCAGTAATGCACCTAAAACTTTGTTGTCGACCACCATAACACAGGAAAAAGAAGAAATCATTGTTCTCGCCATCATATGGCTTTATTTTTATCGGTTAGACACCGGCCTCACAGCACCCTGAATGCCGGTGCCGTCACTTATTGATCCGCGATCGGTAAATGTAGCTTGTGTGGATGCTATTGCGCTACTTGACTAATAAAATAGCTTAGCTACTGAAAAGCTATTTGATTTAGAAAGTAGCAACGCTACCGCCACCCTACTGAGAAATGTAGTTGTAGCGATGCTACTGCCAAACACTGCGCATTAGCTATTTACATGGCGGACTTTGTAAGTGGAAAAACTGAACGCTTCACTAGAGAGAAATCTGTTAAATTGACCATCTGCAGTGCGAAGATAAAGAATGAGCCTCCTCGATTAGGCCTCTTTACTTTCTCTTTACATTTACTCTTTACTACTTTATTTTTGTGGATAGGGAAATGGTGGAAACTCTCTCCGCTGAAGACATCCATTAGCCGACATGTTTAATTTCTTGTGTTAAGCACAAAGATAGTGGTTTTTATATTTAAACATTTTTTAAAAATATTTGCAGAAAATAATAATTTTTGTAACATTTCAATCTTTTAATATATTTTCATATGTTCAGATATTTGTGTGTTGCTGTACATCCTGCATGTATTAAGCAGTGTGTAAGCGTTTGGACCCGCACAGGCGTATAACTAACGTGCTCTGAGCTGGACTTTAGAGCAGCATGTGGTTGGTCTGTGGCACTATTTCAGTTTATCAGAATAGCAACGTGCCAACAATACGCCTTAACACACCTCCATTTTAGACCAGCACACCCGGTCCACAAAGTGGTGCAAAATGGATTTGCTATTTAAACAATGTGATGTAAAAATGTGAAATATACAGTTGCACTGGTCTAATAGCAACACATCACATCAAACACACTGGGTGAATGATATGAATGATATTCATTGTTTAACCTTTTACATTCTTAACTTTTTATCTGAGTTTTTAAGCTTATTTTTCATTTGTTATTACTAATTTTCCGTGTCTTCATTTAATTGTATTTATTTCTTATAATTTTATTTTGCAGAATTTTTTTTTTTTTTACTTTGGGTGCATGAATTGTACAACTTTTTACATTGCATTTTGAAAATAAACAACCAGTATTCCTAATCTTATAATAATATTTTAGAATTGTAATTAATGAATTAATTTCAGATTATTTTTATTTTATTTATTTTTATTGTAAAAAAAAATTTATAATGATTTTTTTCATAATTAGTAAATTTGTTATTCTTTTTTATGTCTTTATTTAATTATATGTATTTTATTTAGTAGATATCTGAGTCTCTTGGTGCATGAATTGTAATTACTTTTTACATCAATTGGCACACATTTGGCACATTTTACAATACTTTTGGAAGCATTTTACAACGTTTTCATAAAGTCAAAAGAGTATAAAACCCTGTATACCTAAACGAAATCGAATATTGAACTGAAATGACGTCATTTCGTAACAAAATCCAGCCAAAACAAAAGTATTTTTGAATTTGTTTCAGCGGTTCAAAACTGCTCTCTAAAGCAAACTTTTGGGGGATTGTGTTTTTACTCTAAAACACCTTTGACCTGCCATTGGTCTGTTGGGTTTGTGCAATCAGTGGGTGTGTCCTGTAACTCCGCCTTCTTTGGTGTGCATTTATTCCCGCCCCTGTTTCGTTTTTCATTCCACAGAGGTCAGAAGAACAACAGCAACATTAACATGGAGAGCAGGAGAGTTCAGTAGCAGCGCTGTTTTTTAAGGAGCAGATGTTTACTGAACTTTTCTTCTGTCACAGCCACCATTGTTATTGTGTTTAGGAGTAAACCAGTACACACAAGTAACATGATGCATGCCAAAAATAAAAATCACTCAGCCTTTCACCATTCCTTTTTGCTCTAAAGCGCAAATCGAAAACTGTCTTTCCATTTCGCTTGGAGAACACCTGGACCGTTCCCCATCACTCATCAGCCTTTCCGAATGTCTTTTTGCGCTCAAAAGAAGAATAAAAACATCAGCAGTGACCTCTACATTACGCTGAACTGAGCTAAACGGAACTTCATCTACGAAAAACTGGACTGAAGTAGTTTCAATTCACTACTACTTCTATGTTAAGCTGCTCTGACACAATTAACATTGTAAAGTGCCATAGAAATCAAGATGACTTAAAAGTGAACTTGGATTGAAGTATTACCAGAGACTTTAAGGGTGCTTTCACACCTACACTTTTGTTTCGGAATGTGTCTCGTTTGCCCAGTTAGCGCGGTTCGTTTGACATATGTGAACAGGGCAATCGCGCTCTGTTCCGCGCCAAAGTAATCGCTCCGAGATCGCTTGAATGAGGTGATCTCGGCTCGATTGAAACGAACCCTGGAGCGGTTCGATTGTAGTGAGAAAGTGATACGATCCGAGCGCGGTTATATCACAGTGTTTTATGGATTTGTAATAGGCATATACGGCTATATGAAGAGAGAATTATGAGTGGGTTGGGAAGTTTCGCGAGTCTCCGGATGCCCGCAAACGAGTGATGATCTCCCGGTAATCTCGCGTCTCCCTCCCGGTCCTCAAATAGGCATCATCGCGCATCCTTCTCACCCTACCCCACCGCGTCTCTCCTCAGACACGTTGCGCGCGCGCACCCTGTCAATCACCACCAAACCACCACCTCTCCTGACAGCTTAGCGGGACGCTGCAAAATAAACCCTGACACTCTGACCAATGTGAGGAGAGTTTACTCGCACGTGACTTGTTTTAGCTCTTTTGGTCCGATTAGAAACTTTGCAGTGTGAAAGCGAACCGCTCCAAGAGCAAAGAGCAACAATGTAACAATTGTAATCTCTGTTTCGGAACAACTGAATCGATTCACAGGTGTGAAAGCACCCTAATACTCTTCTGTCATTTCCTATTGCATTAAATAACAGAGCGCTCTTTTTCTTCATGTTCTGGTCTGTCAGGTAAGCTGAAGGAGTGGACGCTGATCCTGCACGGCACGTCTGAAGACCCGCAGCAATCCCAGAGTTCCCAGCAGTCTCGCTCCAGGACGCTAGACCTCCCGATTGCAGGCCGAGAGATGAAGAGCCCTGAAGCCCCAGAGCATGAAGAGCAGGAGGAGGAGGAGTATAACGGTACAGACAGACATCTATAATAATAATAACTACTGTGGAAATCAAAGCTGCTTTTATTTGAGCGAAAGTACACTGTATAAAATACCTGTTAATGAATAGTTGCTGAATTTTGTGATTCGCAAGTGTTTTCTATTTATTTACGGTTGTGAATCGCATTATGAGATGTTGATCTCTGCTCTGTCGACTTCTGATGTTAAAAATTCCACTCTACCATTTAACAAAGTGACTTTTATTGACATTTTAGTCGCTTGAAATAATGTAAAGTATACAGTTGAAGTCAGAATTATTAGCCCCCCTTTAAAATTTAGTTTTCTTTTTTAATTATTTCCCAAATTACGTTTAGCAGAGAAAGGAAATTTTCACTGTATGTCTGATAATATTTTATCTTCTGGAGAAAGTTTTATTTGTTTTATTTTAGCTAGAATAAAAGCAGTTATAAATATTTTAAACACCATTTTAAGGACAATATTATTAGCCCCTTTAAGAAATTATTTTTTCTCGACTGTGCACAGAAGAAACCATTGTTATACAATAACTTGCCTAATTACCCTAACCTGCCTAGTTCACCTAATTACCCTAGTTAAGCCTTTAAATGTCTCTTTAAGCTGTTTAGAAGTGTCTTGTAAAATATCTAGTCTAATATTATTTACTGTCATAATGACAAAGATAAAATAAATCAGTTATTAGAAATGAGTTATTAAAACTATTATGATTAGAAATGTGTTGAAAAAAATCTTCTCAATTTAAACAGAAATTAGGGAAAACCTAAACAGGGGGGCTGATAATTCTGACTTCAACTGAAAGTGTAAATAATATATAGAGAAATCAGTCTGTAAAATATCAGAAAATGTCCTGGCAGTTTAATACAAGGTTTTTGCACTGTAATATACAACACCAACCCAGACAATATATCACTGCAAACTATTAAAAATGTTCATAATAGTCACTTTTTTTATCTTTCAAGGTTAAAGTTGTTGAAAGGAAGATCAAGATGCCATTATGCAATTCAAAAGCAGAAATAAATGGGGACAAATAAAAACATAAAACACAAAATATGGGACACTGCTAATTTACGGATTTTTGTAGTGTATATTTTGGTACATTCTCTGTAAAAACGTTTCAAAAAGTTGTGTTCATCCAAAAAAATTATCAGAAAAGAAAAGGTTCCTACAGTGCAAATAAGGCTGTTTATACTTTTACTTTTTACTTGTTTCCAGTCTAAATATCTAAAGATTCCTGAATTAAGAAGCCTTTTCTAGACAAGCAAAAATCATTGTTTTGTTTTTAAAAATAATCGAGTCGAAATTGCGAGAGTTTTTCCTTAAAAACAAGCTAAAAATTCTTGCTTTCACTTAAAAAAAATAGTGCTTATCCCACTGGCAGATCATTTAGCTTGCTTTAAGGAAAATCTCACTTAATGTTGACACAATATTTCTGAAACATTTTATTTAAATGTTTTTCTTAAAGCTTTGCGTTTTTTCCCTGTAATTTAACTTATATTAAACTTAATTTCGCATTAAAATGACCTTAATCTTTAGATATTTTTTTGTTTTTTTATCACATGATCCTAATCCACTATTGTACAATTTCAGTCAGTTAAATGCAATTTATGCTGAATAAAAGCATTTTTTTCTT